CACACTCTCTCTCTCTCTCTCTCTCACGGCTGAACTCTCTTGTTAACTGATCGATCACTGATCATTATCGATCGACTGTTTCAGAAGTTTTGGTTTCTCACCTTATGAAGTGAAAGTTTCTTTGATCTCAACAAACTCGCTCCACTAACAAGCGCCGCCATTTTGTCAGAGCTGATGACCTCTGACCTGGATCCTACCAACATGGAGGCCGGGGGTGGGGGGGCAAGACAAAATGAAACGTGTGAAAAACTAAAAAAAAAAACATCAAACTAAAGATGAATTAAAGTGAAACAGAATAAATAAGGAAATACAAGTTGAAGTAATTCACCGCATGATACTAATAAACTAGTAAGTGACCACTGAGTCTTTATTATTATGATGATGACGTATGGTGATTAAAGATCCGCCTCCCGCCACAGTGGTTCAGTCCAGAATGTGACGTAGATCAGGTGATACCGTAAAACATGTAATAACCCCCCTGTAAAAAAATCACACCTTTATTTTCTCAATGCTCTCCACAATCAGCCTTCACACGTGACGTCATCGATAGCTGATCGGTGTTTTTATCGATTATGGGCCCAGTGACTGTCGCAATAAGCCCGGTGGAACTTTTATTTTGAAAGGTTCCTGTTTTCTTGTACAGTTACGGTTCCGGCCCGGTGTGGTCCGACAGCACGAGCTGCTGCTCAGCACGAGCTGGTCGAACGGCAGCGGGCATCGAACAGTGAACCTCAGCGACAGATGGAGGAACGAGTCTTCGAACCCAAACTGGTTCTGGTCTTCAGCGGGAAACGGAAGTCCGGAAAAGATTATGTGACGGACTTGATCAAGGGACGGTTGGTACTTCCGGTTTGTTTTATTAAGTTGAGAAGTGATTGATTAGTGATCAATAACCAAAGGAGACTTTCACTGACGTCACATCACAAGGTCGGCGGTTCGATCCCGGTCGCTTCCATTCCGGATACTGAAGTGTCCTTGAGCAAGGCAGTGAACTTATGATGTGCTGCACTTTAGGGTTCAGGACGATATCAAGATCAGGATGATGTCAGGATCAGGATCAGGATGATGTCAGGATCAGGA